AGAGAGAGAGAGAGAGAGAGAGAGAGAGAGAGAGAGAGAGAGAGAGAGAGAGAGAGAGAGAGAGATGTGTCCACATACCTGCCTGTCTTTGTCGTCGTGGTTTTAGAGCGAATCGGTCAACTCTGTGCGAGCTTTAGAGAGGAGGAGATCCTCGTCGATCACTTTCCCGTTAGATCGCCGCCCTTCTCAGATGAAATGTTGACGTCAACTGGAGTTTCGAAAGCAGCCGACGTAAAACAGAAAGCGGAAGGGAAGAGAAGGACACGGCGATGGCTGCAGCTATGGCGATGGCGATCCCGGCATAGCTGCATGAAGTAAAACGGGAGAGAGAGAGAGAAATGGAAACGCCGCCCACTTTCCCACGAAGAAGCAAGAAGCAACGAGAAGCAGCCCACAGCGCACAGGAGCGAGACACGCTCACAACCTGCAAGTAAAGTGCAACGACCTGTGAGATTTGTTGCTGCAAGCTTTTTCTTCCAGTTGCCTCATTGTCCACTCTAGAGCCGTTCGTTTATGAGCATACGAACTCAAATTTTCTGATCCGATCGGATCCGATCGGACCCGATCGTATAGGATCGTCCTATAGGATCGTCGTATACGATCGTCCGATTGTATCGTATCGGAATTGGAGGATCGTCGGATTGGATCGGAAGCTTGCACAACCTATCGGCGGCGATTGTGAGATGATTATGAATGGAGGATGTCAACAGACAGACAGACAGACAGACAGACAGACAGCAATCACAAGACCGTGTTTGACCACGGAATTTACACAATGTCATGTGGATGAGCAATACATCGAATAAGGATGTGTCTTAAAAGTAGTCCAGAGCTCGACGACAGCTCGTGGCTATGGCACTCGCGTCCCAGCTTATCCGCTAACTCAGAACTCAGAGTCGAAGTGTCTCAGAGTAGAGTAGAGTGCAGACGTCTGGCGGATCCGAGATCCTACGATCGGAAACTCAAAAGTTGGAATTTGCAAGACGTCATCAAATTCATCAACAAATGAACCGATCGATCGCCGGAGATCGTAAATTTATTCGATCGGCAGGACTGAACTAGCCATGCTGCCGAAATGTTTTTCGTGCTTTTTACCCGTTACATTTTCTTTCTTTCTTTCTTTCTTTCTTTCTTTTTTTCTTTTTTTCTTTCTTTTTTTTTTTCAGACAATTAAATTAAATTCAATTCAATTTATTCAAATCACCACGAACCTATAGCACTTGCCAAGCAACGGCAACCCGTCCGCGCACAGCAGAAGAGGAGGAAAGAGAGAGAGAGAGAGATAGATAGAGAGAGAGAGAGAGAGAGAGAGAGAGAGAGAGAGAGAGAGAGAGAGAGAGAGAGAGAGAGAGAGAGAGAGA